GCAAAGTTGCTTTCCTTTTTAAATTTGATGGAATATTGTTGTATGCAGGGTTTGACCAAAGTTGAAAAGGAAAACAGAGCCCGTAACTGATGGTGCTGAACTGCCTCTCTGCTTGCGATCTCCAAATATTCTCATTTGAGCGATTTTCAAACTTAGTTAATTGTCATTGTGAACGATTTTTCACTTAGTGCTGTCAGTAGGGAGTCTGATTCTGGGGAAAGATAGACGTGGTCTGATTCCTTGATTTCGTTCCTATGGAAGAACTACTGGAGGTTTATCTTCTTTTTTTGCAACGGACAACATTCCAGTAAAAACGTTTTTGCATATTGACAACTCCAAACTCGTTTTACTCTTTTGAATTTTTTTTCGGAACGCTGATTCAAAACGTAAAGCGTACACCAAAAGCTCAGAACGCACCACGTTCAAGCTATGAAAATACTAATTTCAAATTCTACAGCAGAAAGCATCCAGTTTATATTTCGGTTTACGCTTTCCGATGGAAAAGCTTGTGTTATTGATTCTTTCGGTACATTGTGCTAAACGTCTACACTCAACTTCACCGCAGCCCCTTTCTAGAGGATTTTAGCGAGGTGGTTTTGCTTCATGGGGAAAAGACTGTAAAGGGCTCGAATTCTAAGTGCTCCGAAAAAGCCTATAGCAACTCGAATATTCCTTTTCACAGTTTACGGTAATTATCACGGTGAAAGGATAAAAGATAAAGTCTTCGCCGTTGATCAATCCCTTTGTGGGATGCGGCACGCATTCTACTTCCATTCAGAATCGTAGTGGCTTATTGAATGCGATGTGGCCTATACAATGCCTTGCCGGCCGACGTAAGTCAGTGCTCCTATCCTCCCAGACCAACCTGGTACCATTTTGCGGTCCCTGCGGCGTGGGGGGGGGCAGTAGGCTCTGTTATCAGTCCACCCGGGATTTGAACCCAGAACAAAGGGGAGTGGCAAGTGCGGCAGTTTCACTACAACACTCCCTACTTTATCACGGTAGCCTATCAACGAGCCAACTACTAGTTTGCAGTCATTTTTGGCTTGTTCTGTCTGTAAAAACAACATTTCAGGGCTCAAATTGATAATATTAAAAAAATTGTCGACGATGCAGTTAGTTTTTCTCCATGTCCTTTGTGGGCTCAGAAGACTTCCACCGTGAGAGAGCTGTTAGAAGCTAGCAAAGTCACACATTTCGGGCAGGGATGACATTGTGATGAAGAAAGGACAGCGCATTGTGTAAAACCTAGCGTGGCCTATTTGCCCGCTGGGAGGGATTTTGTTGATTTTAAACGTTCAACGCGGCCCTTTACTTTCCCCTCCGTTGGCCTTGTGGCAGAACTTCTATCCTCATAGTTGAGCGAAGAAGTCTGCATGGCCCCGTGCCGTGATTTGGATCAATTTGATACCAGTTATAATGGAGCCATACCGTATAGTCTGGTTCGCTGCGGAGGAGAGGGCTACTTCTGCCTGGATCAGGCTACAGCATCGTGATGTGTGAAATGGTGGTGCCAGTACGATAGAGTAAGGGTCTTAATACGACCCACTCCCCAAAAAAAGGAGATTTCGGTACGACCTTCCCCTTTTCCAGCTCCTACCTACCAATTTTCCGGTTTATCACCCAGAGATTTTCCGTCGAGCGAGGGGAGGGGGTAAATAGTACACATGATTAGGAGATAATCACGCGAAAAGTCAACAACTGAGGAAAAAATTTTCCCAACGCGGCAAATTTCTGTCAAAGCCACATACGACCCCCCCCCCTTCCCAACAACGACCAAATACGACCCCCCTCATGTGTTTCACACAATGATGCTGTACCCTGCCAGGTTGGGTTTCGGCGCGGCGCAAAATCCATTCTGTACCAGTTGTTGGAACGGGTAAGCGACAGAACTAGTGGAAAATGACTGCTTCAAAAGATATGATGTTTTCACTTTTTCGCTTCAACAACTGGTGACACAGGGTTGGCGATGCGCCAAACGCTTACCGCCTGACACGCCCATCATCCGCAGCGAACCGCACTATAGTTTGTAACCCATTACAAAACGTGTAATAGAAGATATCACTAGTCTCGGGAACGTATCGGTACTTTACCCCTCGCTATTCTTCCTCTGACATGTTTGGTGTTCGAATAGCTAAGGGGAACACATTTATTCATGAGATAGCCATTGCTGACATGCAATTCTTCCTTGTACGGCACGTGGTTTTCCTGTCTGATACTCGTGAA